CCCAGCCCTGCCCCAGGCAAACTTCAAAGTGAAGAGGAGGTACTGGGCAGTCTGTCCTGTCATATCCATCCCCTTGCTCCCTCTCCACACTCAGGGTCAGAAAACATCATCACTGCTGTTGGTTTTCATTTCCTTCTTCAGATCTTGTCACAAGTGGTGTCATGTAGAACTGGGATAGTGATGGATGTAGTAACTGTTTTGGGTGTATCTCCGAACAAAGCATCCTACTACTTCCTGTTTAAAAAAGAAAGAAGGGTAGACTGAGAACTCTGTTTTGTCTGGCATTGTTCATAATGATACAAAAAGTAACAGGACCAAGGTTCATCAAGAAATTTAATATTATGCTCCCCTTTAAAATCTAGCTGGTTTGGGGGTTTTGTTAATTTGGGTTTTTTAGTGTAATCAGGATTAATAAATGAGCCTTTTTCTGAGTACAGTTTTTGTTTGCAGCTATTCCAGCTACTGCTGTGTTGATCAAAATTAGGGCCATTAGATCAAAGTGGGTTTTTTTCTGCTCTGTTTGAATAGTTATTTTCTGTAAAAATAAGTTAACCTTTAGTCACCTGATCCTCATCTTGCTTCTAACTCAGCAGCATGTAGGCGATGGCTTGGATTAGCAAAACAGATCTTTCTTTTTCAGTCTAGGATTAGACTAAAATCTAATTAGTAGTTGTTCTTAGTTCACTTAAATAGGAGGACCAAACTTCAGTTAAATAAGTTTGTCAATTGCACCTAGTTTTCATGCAAACTTACTGAAGTTAAAACCTTTTCTTTGCAGATGGGATGATGATGTTGTCTTCAAGAATTGTGCCAAGGGGATAGATGAAAATAAAAAGGACAAAAGATTTGTGAATGATACCCTGCGATCAGAATTCCACAAGAAGTTCATGGAAAAATATATCAAGTAGTACAGGTTTATGTTCCCTGGTGCTGAAGGACTTGGAAGGTCATGGTTATTCCCTCCCTCTCCCTCAGAATTCAAAGCTGAATACATGGTCATGAATTCCCAAATGCTTTTCCAAGATCATCAACAGCTTCAGAAGTAGTAATGGCTATGTATCTGGATTTTTATTCCTGCAATATATTCTCCTTCTAAATTTTAATTAAATCAGTTTGTGTTTCATGAATGCTTTCTGTTCACATGTGTTTACTTTTACTGGCCTCCTTGTAAATGGTAGAAGATACAAGTTAGTTTGCAATAAATCTTTCTAATTGTTCAAATTGCTTTCCAAAACAACCTTTATTTGTAGTGATGGTGGTTTGTAACACAGGTCACTTATATAAACATCAGTATTATCAAAGATATGATAAGCAGTGTGAAGTGGGGGGAGCTATACTTTGTAGCAAACTGGAATTCCTCATACCTAGCTAGTTAGAAACTTAGTTAATACTCTTCCTTTTTAGTTTGGTGGAGTAGCTCTGTAGCTTCAAGTTCTTAGCAGCCCTGCTCCCTGAGCTCTCTTGACTCAACATTTCTGGGGCAGTGCCATGTAATGCTTGGGTGAGCACTGAGAGGGAAAAGCTCTGTTTGGTTTCTTCTTCCTTAATAAACCATTGCAGTGCTCAACGCCTCAGCCACAACCAGGTGGCCACAAGGCTCAGTCTCTGTGTGTGGTTCATTAGTGTTGTCACAAACTTGCACGTGAATGCTTTTATTAAATGAGTGGTCTCCTCAAGGTACCAGAGTACAACTTGTTTTCTTCTTAAATGTCCATTTTAAAACTTTATCAGAAAATATAAAATATGAATGACTGAAAAAAAATCTCAGTTGTGAAAGAATTTATTTTTTTTTTCCTCTCTTCTGTCATCTCAGGTGTGTTTGAGGTCTTGGTCAAGTGATGCACTGGATATGAACCTAATATTTGCAAAGTAGGTAGTTATCTCTACCTAGAAAGCTACAGTAGCAGAACTCAGACATGTTGAGGGAGGTTGTTCTTCCCCTCTACTCTGCCCTGGTGAGGCCACAGCTGGAATATTGTGTCCAGTTCTGGGGTCTCCAGTTCCAGAGAGACAGGGAGCTACTGGAGAGAGTCCAGAGGAGGAGGGTGATAGGGGGATTGGAGCATTTCTCTTATGAGGAAAGGCTGGGAGAGCTGGGGCTCTTTAGCCAGGAGATGAGAAGACTGAGGGGAGACCTTATCCATGTATGTAAGTATCTAAGGGGTGGGTTCAAGGAAGATGGAGACAGGCTCTTCTCAGTAGTTCCCACTGTCAGAACAAGGGGCAATGGGTACAAGTTGGAACATAGGAAGTTCCATTTAAATATGAGGAAAAACTTCTTCAGAGTCTCCATCTCTAGAGATATGGATGCAGTCCTGAGTAATGTGCTCTAGGTGGTCCTACTTCAGTGGGAGAGTTGGACTAGATGATCTTTAGAGGTTCCTTCCAACTCCAGCAATTCTGTGATTCTGCATATGAAAAATTCTTGCTCTTTTCCTTTGTTAAACTCTGTCTAGTTTATCCTTACAGACATTTTTATTTTAATATTACTATTTTCAGGCTCTTAATTTGAAAGTATATCTGGTTTTCTTTTTAAAAGAGTAAAGTTAGAGCACAATGTTGTAGATTTTTGCTGGTCATGACTCTGGGATCCCATGAAAACTTTCTTCAGCTTTAGCTGTATTTTCCACCCTTTCACTGAGCTGTGCCTGGTGTTCTTATGCCAGCAGCTAATGCCCATATTTACTTGGAAGTGAGATTTTCGGCGTGCCTAAGATCATGTGAGCTCCTACAGCTACTGGAGGAGTATGTGTCTGAGCAGCCTCATGATAGCAGTGATTCTTGAGAAGCAAAAAAATGGTTGTGGTTTGTGATTCTCTCTGTTGAAATTAAGGCTACTAAAATCTTGTTAAATAGGCAACAGTTTTAGAAGGAGGGAAAAAAGTTCAGAGGTGTACTTATCGGGGTCTGGCAGTGGTGAAGGCAGCTGCTGCTTTAGGGCTGACCTAAGAGCATGGTTGTCGTGACAACAACAAAAAATACATTGGTCTCACAGTATTACAAGATATAATCACTGTGCCAAAGTGAGCAAGTGAGTGAACAGTTTTATTGGAGAGGGGGAGACATAGCTGAAATGCCAGTTCAGTGCCTTCATGGAAACTGTACATGTATAAATGCCACCAGTGATGTGCTTGAGCTAACAGCTCTTTTCTTAAAAAAAATAGTCAGGTGGCTGGGGTTGGACGAGGTCTTCTTCAGCTCTGCAGACAGTTGTTCTCCACATCTGCAGGACCATCCCTTCCTTAAACTTTTGCATTATGCATGGTGCACTGGAGTAATTTTTTCCAGTAGCTCTCTCCCTACGGGGTTCTGGAGAAAGCTGTAGGGACTGGGTAGCTCTGGGCTGCCACTCTATTTGAGGGTTTTTGTTGTTGTTCAATTCGACTGCAGAATTTGCAGATCCTATCTCTAACCTCCCTCCTCAAAGCTTTTGTATTTTACCCTCCTGCAGTGTAAACTGACCCACAACCTGAGGACTCAGCAATACACAAACACAGCATGATAATTAAGGAATCTCAAACCTTATCTCTTGATGGGTTTTTGCATCATTAACTACTGAATTTTCTTCACCAGTACTGGAAAACTAAAGCTCTAACTGTTCTTTTTGTCAGGAAAGAGCCCTGTGCTTTCAGTATTAATGCTGTATTGAGGAGCTTATACTTGTTTAGGAAAAGACAAGCAGATCATTTGTTCTTGTAAAACTGCAGCTTGACTGTAAGTTATTAAAAGAATCAGACTGATGTTCTACACTTCTGCTTCAAGCATATTTTTTTCCAGGATCTTCTGTTGAGTGTGACAAATAACTTTGAACAAAGGCAGTGGAGTTGGCAAGGCAGCTGTTGGGGAGGGGAAGTGGAAGAAGATTAACATTTGGCACCTCAAGGAATGCAATATTTTACAGTTTCTAGCAATCGGGGTTTTTTTTAATCCTCTGTTTTTGCAAGTAACACCTGAACTCACTGCAACTAGGAACTTGCTTTGCATAAACTGTCCTCCTTGTTTGTGGATGTCTTTGGTGTAGCTCTGGAGCTTGAAAAACAGGATCTATTTTTTATGGGAACTAACAGTTAAACTTCTAAGCTTTTTTTTTAAAAAAGCCTTGTCTTCCAAATGTTTTCATGGAATATGTTTTAGAATTCAAAAGGGATTAATAGTATGAGGAATAAAGACTAATGATAGTCCTGCAGCTGGAAATAAGTGTATACAGGATTCTAAAACGTTTGGCATCTGTTTATCTTCCTCAGGTAAGTGGCTGAATATTAAAGGCTTCATATCACAAAATTATGGTCTGCAATTCTGAGGTTTTCATGTAGTCACAGGTGCTATGTGGGCATCCCATCCTACCAGTGCTTGGAAGGAGATTTTCTGGGTTTTGTTTAAGTTAAAAAGAAAATGAAGCCTTTTAGGTGAGTTCCAGTTCCTTGGGTTTTGTTTGAAATGAAATCCTGGGGCAGACGTGATCTGGTTCTTGCTCTGTTTGCCTTTGAGCACCTCGGGGCAGCCCAGCGGGTGCCCGGTGAGGTGTCTCAGCCATGGTTCCCACTAAGCTGCTGAAACGTCTCTCTGCTTTTTCCTGCAACTACAAATACTTAGGAGTCTTTCATGCCGGAGGTGAGATCTGAGCACAGGGTCAAGCCATCAAACGGATGGCGGGTGTTGCCTTGAAAGGCTTCACTTCAAAGGAAGATCTGTAGGATCAAGCCTTGAAGGGATGTGCTGATGCTCAGAAAGTGCTTCAGGCTGAAGTGTTTATTCCTATCTGCAGTCATGGCTGGTTGGAGCCTGAAGCCTTAATTCTCTTCTAAGGAAAGTCAGAATCATACAGAAAGGCTTCTCTGATGTTTCTCTCTCAGTGCCCAGAGCTCTGCAACACAGATTCAGGGGAAGGGAAAGAAAATCCCCACAAAAATGTTCCCATCCATGAAAGTCCTCCTTACATCTCCTGTCAGCTTTTATAATGAAACTTAGCTAGTTGGTGAAGAACTAAACTTCCTGCCAAATGTTGTGTTGCTTATTTGAGATAAAAACTTGGGATGCTTTTTCCCAAGAAATATAGCCTAGGTTTTGTTGTAAAGTTCAGCTGCTACTTCTGTTGTTCAGCCATAAAAGCAAGTGCATCCATATTACCATTTGCTATGTCCACCAAGACATGGTTCAAAATCATGTTTCCCAAGAAAGCTCCACTTTTTTTGCACTGGGGATAAACAGAAAGAAGAATGATGTTTCCATAGGTGTCAAAGTCACTCGTGGAAAAAAAAACCAAACCAACAAAACCAACAGAAAACAGAACCTGAATTCCTATGTTGTTCAATCACAGATGTATTTCACCACTGTGCTACTTTTCTCTTTCACAGAGATCACACATTGGCTTTTTTGTATTCCAGGCTTCATTTTCTTTGCTGAGGGGGACATAGCATGGGTTGTAACTGAAGAAAAATGACTGTGATATTGTGAGTGGCAGGGAAGTAAGATTGCAAGTTAAATAGTGACTATACCTAGTTTTTCAATTGCTTCAGTTCAGAGCTGGAATATACCTAAGGCATGTGATAAAAGCATGTATGAGCAGATGGAGTTTTTTTTCCCAATTGTAGCAGCAGTTCAGGACCAGAAGCCTCATGTCACTGATCCTAACAAAACTGTCAAAAATGTGTCCAAAAAATGTGTCAAGTGAGAAATGCAGATGGGTGATTTAAAAAAAAACACATACAAAATTGCTGGAAATTCTGATATTCCTAGTGCAGTTCTAAGCAGAAGGAAGAGTTGTCTATATCTAAAGTGTCTGCAGACAAGATGCTGAGCAACATCTCAAGTTGTGACCAGTTAAGAAGTATCTGAAAGGGAACTGGAAGCTTTTGAAGATCTGATTTCTGTCCCAGGATGCTCGAAAATCAGTGCTCTGAGACATTAATCCTGACATGGCTCTGGTTTTACCCCAGTGTTGCACTGCTGGCTGCAATGGAGTTATTCTTAGTCCTCACTGCTGCAGATGGGAGAGGAAGACCAAGACGTTTCTAAGTACT